TCCAATGCACAATTGTGAAGTGACTGGAGGACTATGGCCTAATGCACAATTGGCACCAATGTACATTGGAGTATTCACCAATGTGCATCCAGACACCAGATACTGGTGCACAAAAGGAGCACTCCATGCACATTAGAAGTGCCCAATATGTATTGCAAGTGTCCAGTTCACATCCAAATTGCCCAGTATGTATCAGAACAGCTGAATGGTCATCAGAAGAACCCAGTGCACATCAGAAGTGCCCAATACACACTGTTGCTGGTGAACAGATATGCATCTTCACAATTCACTAGCAGAGTTATTGTTGCTCCTCTGCAATGTAGCTAAGAAGTCATAAAGTTACACAAGATTGAGGCTGTGTGGTAGAATCTTGGCCACTATTTTTAGGTCCAAAATATAATCGTTCTGCAGGAAATTATTATTTTCTGAAAAGAAAATGCTTCAGAAAACAACCTTTCCTGCACAGAAAAGGTTGTTTTCTACATAAAATAACCGTATATAAAATTTGAATACTATAAGTCCAGAACTGCAAAGATTCTTTACACTCTAGTATTCTCAGCATTCCAAAAACACATTTTTGTTCATTTTCCAAATATTTTTGAATAGCTTTTCCATCCCTATGGAATCTCCTTATTATGGGTTGAGATATTTTCCTTATCCTGTTGATTCCCAACCTTTGATGCTCCAGATATTCTGGACTTTAGCGCCTATAATTCCTGACTGTTGGCCAAGTAGGCTGGGGCTTCTGGGATCTGAAGTCCAAAACAAATGGAGGACCAAAAATTGGGAACCACTGCCTTATCTTTCCCTGCTTTCTAGTATGGGGAAAACTTTGGGGGAAAACTTGGGTTTCCATTGAATAACAGAGAGCAGTGGAGACTTAAGGAATCTTTGCAATAGTTCCTGCATTTAGTGAGAAGTTGACCATAAGGTGAAAACAAGCAGCAGATATTCTTAAAGTATGAGTTTGCCAGAGAGACCTTCCATCCTTAAGGTGTCTTCCAGCTAAATGTAACTGACTGTGACTTTTCCAAAATACACACATGACCTCACCACTGAACTGTGACTTCTACATGTTCCGATGGATATGTCATTCAATCACAAGGAAAACTTCCAGGTAACCATTACCTCCTTTTGGTAAAACACTACTCAGTTGTTCAGGGTTATTAACCAGTGGTCTGCTTAACAAATGAAGTAACATATAGAACAGGAGTGGAAATTGTTTGGACAATGGAGTTTATGTGGTCTGCAGGAAATAGTCCAGTGCAGTCCTTAGGACTCTAACATCCCCCAAAATAATTTTTCAGACTAAACATGACAAAATAATTTTTTCAGACTGAAAATAACTAAAAATGAGGTATTTTAAAGTTCTGTTTTGGACCGTTTCTCCTTGTGAAACAGAAAGTCACCCATGCCAGACCATGACTGGGAATAAACACGTTGTCTCTTCTGGTTGCCCAAAAATGACCCTATGGGGGGAGGATAAAAAATGGATAATGTTCTGGAACATGCCCAGCACAGATAATGAAGATTCTATTATCTGGTCTAAATAGAGAACATGTTTAGTGCTCCCGCAAGTAGTGAGAGTTATATATTTGACATAGCATGTTATTTTCTTAATCTGGTAATTTGCATTTAGCATACCTTGCTTTGTGATTGGAAATTAAACATCAGCTTACTTTGCAAACCTGATGGAAGAACATGTTCTCTGAGGAAATACTGTAATTTAAAGCTGCATCTATGATGCAGAAATGAGGCAATTTGACACTGCTTTAACTGCCATGGCTCAATGCTATGAAATTGTGGGATGTGTAATTTTGTGAGATATCTAGCCTTCTCTGTCAGAGAACTCTGGTGCTGTAACAAACTACAAATTCCAGGAGCCCCTATGATGGAGCCATGCAGTTAAAGCAGTGTCAAACAGCATTAATTCTGTAGTGTGGCAGCTAGTGAAAATTGGTTAATATCAGAGAAAGAAATTCCATTTAATGTCTGAGTATGGATTCTCAGTTTCCAGATATCTTTGGTGGGGAAAGTTGAAGGATTTTTTTTACAAATGTGAACCATCAGAGGTCTGTCTGTTTCTGTTCTCAAAAATTCTGCAGAACTCATACCTGAAGGAATGTATTATTTATCATGTTATGCTCTCTCTCTCATTCTTCTGTATGCACTAGGTTCTTAAAAAAAATTATTGTGAACACACACAGGCTGGCATCCAGTGAGGAACATATTGTTGCATGCCTTCAAGTTGTTTCTGACTTAAAATGACTTAAGGTGAATCTATCATGGGGTTTTCTTGGCAAGAATTGCCTTATCTTTGCATGTTGCAATTTTTTATTGTGTATTGCAGATGTGCATTATATATTGTACACTGAGTTTGTGCATTGTGCATTTCACTTATGCAATGTGCAACAGCACCTAGTCATCAGTATGTGTTGCACATTGCTATTATTCTGCATTTGGGTTCTATAGTGCTATCATAGTATATCTCCACATATGGTTCTTTATGCTACACTGAGGGGATGTTGGATTGCAGCCAATGTAATGGTTGACAACTGTACATCAGTATCCAATGATGCAATCACGTCACTCAGTGCCAGATAGCAATCTAACTTGAGAAAATAAATGTTCCTTGGTAGATTTAATGACAAATACTGCTTCTGAGGGCTCATTCCCACTTACATTTAAACCGATTCACCTTTGCTTCATGTTGGTGAATGAATTCCAAAAGGCCCATCTTTTCATTATTTACTTGTAATCACTTCTTTTTTGGTACGATTGTCATTCCCACTAGTTTGCACCACTTCAAAATGCATGTCAATCATCTGCCCATCATCAGTGACACAAGTGGCAACATAGTGAGGACAGGGCCGTTCCAGGTACCGAGTGGAGTGACTTCAACAACTGAGCCTTCTTCTGCCCCTCAGCAACCCAGGCTGCTCAAGCAC